AAACTGTTTTGAATAAATCTGTCGTCCCGAAATATTACTTAGCCAGTTTAGTCTTGCTTCCTTATTAATTGATTCCATGGAACTTGAGATCTCTTCACTCACGGACAAATTTGCATATTCCCGTTTGAAATATTATCCACAGGCTCATTTGCACACATGCGAAAACATTTAGTGATTTTTATCTTTTATCTTGATTTTGAGAGAAAACGAAATATGTACCTATCGCTTTTTTCGACGAAAATAAGTTCTTTAATTAGTCTTCTTTCACTGGAGCTTGTTTTTTGGAGATGATTTTTAAAAATTTACTGCGCATTGTGTTTGCTTTCTTGGTTTCTCCAAAATTTTGACTTTTCGTAGGCACGTGTTAGATTGCGTAACACGTAAGTGTCAATGGGTTAAACTCGATCTTGCTATACATTTCCGTGTTTTGAGAAAAAAATGGGTTTGGTGTGACGAATTGTGATTCATTGGAAGATGACAGGTGAAGTTTACAACATAGTCAGTGATTCGATGATGAAAATAAGTTACGAATGCAGGTTTTGCTTTAGTGGAGATAGTATAATTTTTCGCACGTGCAATCTCTTATAGATGTTGTGATCTGACATGGGTATTTTTTAACACGCGTGATATTTCGCACACCAGAGTTCAATATGACACGGCATAACACGACTTTTGTTTTTGCACCCTTTAACACGCTTCTTTGTTTAACCTGAACACGGTTCATTGTTTATATGGAACAAAAGAAAATTTTAATCAGGAGTGCATTGTGACACGCTGTCACTATGTCAACGAAAATTTCTTTTGTGTACCGTGCTAAAATAGTGTGCCCGTGTCATCACCATTATGCTGGAAATGCTGTGGAGGGTCACATTTGTCAGGGAGAAGACTTACCGTAATTTCCAGCCGTTTACCCGCAGCAGCCGATTATTGCATATGGCGAAAAAAAAAAAGTAAACAGATTACCCGCACTGGTGGATAACCCGCACCTTAAAAGGAAAGAAAATTTGTACAAAAAGGCTCTAGAATTCACAATATTTCACACTCGACAGAATGCGAATTTGTGGCCACATTTTGTGCGAGTGATTGTTCAACGCCATGTTGAATTGTTGAGTTCTCAAAAAAAAATCGATATCTCTGGTTCTATTGGGCTTAACAAGTCCCTTGAAACAGGAAAATTCTCTTCAGCTCGAGCTAAAGTTAACTGGAGATTTGTTACTAATGCGCCGGATACCCTTGGATTATTTTTTGTTGCCATCAAGGTTTTGTTTACACGTGTGCCTATAAAAATTTGTTCGTTGCGCAAATAATTGTGCATGAAATAAACTTGAGTCGGCATCACATTTTGGTGCTGCTTTGTAGCACTCTTATCACAATAAAATTCATAGAAGAGGTGGAAATGCAGGTAGGTGAGAATTTTTTTCAATTCAACCACCAGTAGCTTTCAAAATTGTCACATAACCCACACCTCCCTATTACCCGCAGTGGTGCGTGTTTAAGGCAAAATCAACAGATTACCCGCGGGTAAACGGCCGGAAATTATGGTAACATCCACCTGTACCTTAACCCTTCAACTCTCAAGATGTGATTGTGAATTCTCCCCTCTAGCTGCTACACATTTCCTTGTAAATTGGTTATGAGAGTTTGGTGTTCAATCAAGGCAACAGAGCAAGAGGGTATAATAGGGTGGAGTAGGGCATGTGGTTTATCAATCAAAATTTTTTGAAGTTGATTTTGACTTTTCATTAATTGAAGAAATTATATTTTGTAGATGATCAACTATTGATATTTAGTGTAAAGATGATTTTTACACAAAATTACAGCCAACATTATTGGTCACTAAAACAATAGAATAACAGCCAAGCTGGTATCCAGATTTGAAATATTTCCATTTGTAAATGGTTTGTTGTGTTCCAGTCAGTTTACTTAGTTGCTCAACATGTCATTCAATATGTCCTATTGTGTCACATTTACAGGCATTTACACAGACCCAAAAAACCAGAATTCAGTCATGGAAGCAAGAATGTCAAAGACTTGTCAGACAAAGACGGCCATCACATGACACCAGGGCAAGAGGGTGAGAATCTCTTCTACGACTGGTACTTTTCCATGTACATCTTGCGTAATTCTGGAGAAAAGTTGAAACAAATTAAACTGTTGCACCTCCTCTGTACTCTCTCTGTAGATGGTACAACATGAGCCACAACTCGGGGGATTCCATAGGAGGGAATCTTGGGCCTCCTGCAGGTTCAGGGGTCATGAACAAGCGTCACAGAGGCTCACTTCGTAACACTGTTAAGAACCCTGCTGGTCAGCTTCGTAGCAACAGTGCTGAGACGCAAATGCACTCTAAACCAAGACTGGTAAAAAAATCTTACTTGACTATTGTGTTTCTATAGGTAATCACATGATTTCGAGTGCAATTTGGAATAAATAAGCACGTGTAAATTTTTCAAAGACTAACAAAATTGCATGAGCCTGTAGGGCGAGTGCAATTTGTGGTCTTTGAAAAAATTTACAAGTGCTTATTTCAAATTGCACGAGAAAATCATGTGATTATCTATTAGTAATATACATGAAAAAATACGGGGTAGCTTCTCATAACTATGCAGAAGAAAAGTGCATGCATCATGTGCAAAAATAATTTATTCAAACCCTGTAAGTGACCTTGACCTTGACATTGACCAATCATTCTGACCAATCAGAATGTCTGGTTTGTTTCTTTCTTTGCACTGAATTAACTCTCTTCTGCACTGAATTAACTCTCTTCTGCACTGAATTAACTGAAAACTGCATTCATCTTAACCAATCAGAACTGAGAAATTTTTTCATGTATGTTATTAGTCTTGATAGTGTCACTGACATAAAGTGTACTTCTCACTAAGCCATTGATAATGATATCTATGGTATTGTACTGCCCACAACCAATTTTTTTCTTAGAAGATTGGTTGGGACCATTTTATGGTGTCCAGTAACAATTGGTTTCTAGATTGGAAAAAAGAGCTGTGCAATATTTTGATGGAAAGTGCTCTTAGTAAGGGGTAAGCTTTCACAATCAAAGGGGAAAAGATTAAGAACAAATTAACCTGTCATGATTTCAAGAGAGAAATTTGTTCTCCTGAAAAGAAAGTTTAGATTATTTTGTAAAGCAGTTCACATAGTTTACAGGTATGTCGAATTTTAAATTTGAAACCTCTCTTTGAATTCTCCCCTAAAGTTACGACAAATGTCCTTGTAAATTGGTTTAGAGAATTTGGTGTTTTGATCAAAATTACAACTTCTGCGTGTACTAATTGATTAGTTTGAATGTTCTCATTACCTGTTTGCTCCACAATGTATGGGTATTACTGGGAGAAGTTACAATAATAGTAATCACTCCTGGTAGCTAAAGGGTGAAAAAGAATTCATGAGAGATAATTGAATGTTCAATGAGCTTGAATTATTCTACAGCGACAGCTTTTCACCCTTTCAATCCTGAATTCTGTTAGTAATTCACCTTACTGTCTGCAGTACAATGGACAATTTCAAGGTTACTGGCACCATTTTGCCAGGGGTGCAAAACTGCTGGGGCAAGAGCAAAATATACAGTGAATGTATGAGAAAAGTTGGGAGATCGATGCTCAATAATTTGAGGAAGATTGACATTCTGCAATTTCTATAATTTACAAAGTAAAGATACCTAGCAAAAGATGTTGCTGATTAAATGTGAAAGGTTCAGGCTCGCTGAGAAGTGAGAAATCTTATTTTTAGTTTTTTACACAAATGCATTTACATTTTCCCGCAAATGGTGGCTTTGTTTTACAGGCAAATATATGGAAAATCCAAGTCTTAATTTGCGGCTTTCTTTGTGAGACTTCATTTCTCAAATTTGATCAGTAAACTGATATCTTTAGTTTGTAATTCATGGACATTGCATTGCACAGTGTCAACCTTCCTCAAATTATCAAGCATCAATCTCTGGACTTTTTCTGTACATTCACTGTATGTTTTGCGCTTGCCCCAGCAGTTGCACTCTCGGCAAAATGTTGCCGGCAACCTTGAAATGGTCTATTTTCATTCAGAGAATTTGAAATAGGATTAATAGTCCCCTAATTGATATTCTTGTTGCATGTCTGCTTGATATTGTATTTATACTCTGATAAGAAATTCTGTCGTGGTCACACAGCAGAGTAAAAGGGTCAAACCATGTTGATGATATTGTGCACAATATCATGTGTAACAATTTGATTTAGTCATACACATCAGTATGAAAGCACCATATATTAAAATTATTTTAATAATAATTTTCTCGTTGCCATGTTCCCACCAATAACGTAGCTCCATTTTCTGCCTTTAAAAGCACACACAACCCACAATTCCTCTATTTGCTCCGACGAAGGGCTCACACTCGAAACATCAGCTTTTGTAATCGTTACAGTGGCCAATTTACCACTTCAACTTTGTTGATATATCCAAATTATTTCGTTTCTCCCACCGACGCAGCCCCAAACAGTTTCTTTCAAAACTATCAGCCTTTATTCATTTATATTAAAATTAGCCTGTCAACATTTTCTCCTTTAGGTGAGGTCACATGCTGTTGTGGGAAGAACAAAGTCACTTCCTCTTAAACCAACACAACAGACCAGTGTTGGTTTGCCTCAGCAACGTAGGTGTATCTTGTTGATATTTCTACATGGCAAATATGTACTAAGTTTATTTTTTGTTTGACCTTAAACATGGGAAGTGTATTTAAAGTCTGTCAACACCTTTGACAAGAGTGCCTTCGAATTAGAACTTTACCAAGGTTGTAAGCAACTGTTGAATACTAATGAAAGTACTATAATGGCTCTGCACTTTTGCCAAATTTTACAGATGGTTTATGGTAGAGCAGAAACATTCTTCTCTTCATAAAACTGCTGCTGATTTTTATTTGTTTAACAGCTAGAGCACGGAACAGAAAGTGGCTAACAAAAACAGCGCATTGAACAGTGGCTCAATTTTGCATGCACTACTAATTTTTGTTAATAAATTTCAATTAAAAATAAATGTTATGTTCTGGGTTGGAGGTGAATGACCAGTTCTTTTTTTTTTCAGTCTCGGCAGATCTAGAGAACATTGATGATGGATTAGAGTCCCTTTGTCTCAGTGTTACTGAACATGCCCTTTCTGGTGAGTTTTTCTGTTTTTGTCAGAGAGAAGAGAAGAATCTTCTTGTTTTATGGTGTGGGAGATGTAGTAGCATTAGGCTTAGTCTACTGGAATGTGGTAGAGAGAAATGTGTTTAAGAGTTGACAATGTCATTGTATTACATTCTGTGGCAAGAAATCTTTTTCTTGTAAAGTGTCTCTCTATCCAGGAGTTTAAATGGATACTTTCAAATAGTCAGTAAAATGCCTTTCAGGGGGGACTAGTGATATAATTATGAAAAACAAATGTGGCAGACTATATACTCGTTAACTCAGTCAGTGTGGATTAAGTTGGATGATAGTGAGGCTGGTAAGACATTTGGTCTATTCTGTTCCACGCCTATGAGTTGTCAGGTTCCTGAATGCCACCAAAAGGAAACAGTCTTCCACGGGAGAGAGGGTTTAGTCTGTGGCATTTACACTTGGTCTATACTCCTTAATTTGTCATGCAGCTGGAAGAGCCTCTTGCAGAGGTTTCAGTAACTTTTTCTATAAGTGGCTGCTGATGGTGTATTAGGTTGTGTCTAGAAAAGGTCTGCAAGTGGAAACAAAAACACTAGTGATTGCTTACAGGCTAAGCCAACATTTTAGGCGGCAGTAGACAACTGCTAACTGGCTTTTATTGAAACCTCTGCCTCTTGGCTGGAGTGCAATTGTAATCTTTAAAATTCTCTTTTTTTTTTTTTTCAGATTCAACAGACCCATCAGTAAACTATAAATAGCACATGTTTTAACAGACCGCAGGCTGTAACACAAGCAATGGAGTTGCCTTAGTAGAGCACACAGAGGCCATTATTGTTCAATGATACTAGTGAAAAATGTCTCAGAAAAGTCCCATTTGCAAGAGCAGATGAAGACAGGATATTCCCCCCAAAAAACCATAATTATAGGCAATGCTTATTTCATCTTTATTCTCAAAAAGCTCATAGAGGTTTAATAAGGCTTTGTGTTATGCCATTTTACCTTACCCTGAAGTAGATGGCAGTAAAACGGGGAATATTATGTCATTATTATTGTGTTAACACTAGTTGACTTGGTCCTCAATTGTTTATTGGGATATTGTATTTAGATGGAGGTATTTAAAACATTGAATCATGGTATCTTAGGAACGTAATTTGAAGTAGTAGCATTGACTGCACTCCTGAAATTGCTGACTTAGCAAATTTAACCTTCTGGGCTTAGTTTGATCATGTTCTGCAATTTTCTAGTTTTGTCTTTGTTGTTTTGGGGTGATTCACAAACTTAGGTGCCATACTGTTTGTATGCAGAATGGGTCTTGTTTGCATTTTGATTACTTGTTCTGGTTACACTTGTACATAGTTTGGATAACCACTGTTACATTAAGATATATGTTAAAAGTTTATTTTCATAATTTTGTTTTTCATTTCTTGTTTTTTGTTGTGTTAGTTCAAACCAATGTGATGTTGTTTTTGTTTGAGTGTTATTCTTAATACAGGCTGTGGTAAAATTTTGCAGAATGTGTATTTGTTTTCTAAAGCTATTTCTTAAAAGATGTTTGTTTGTAAATAAACTGCCGACCATGATAGATGGAGAAGGCAGTTTAAAACAGATTGTTTTTGTTTAAGCAACAATTTACTTGAAATTTTTGGGTTGGGTTTAATTTGTCCTATCAAGTAAAGTAATTAATTTTAAGAATTTAACTTTTTTCATCTCTTCTTTTGGGTCCTTAATGATTGTGTTGTTCTGAGAAATAACTATGACAATTTTCAAATGACTAGCAAACACTCTTTCCATCACATTTTAAATTTAGGAAACAGAATAATTTTGGTAACCTAAAGTAATTTATCATTCATATAATTGCTGGCAAATCTATGGAATCTCTTTTAACAGAGCTGTCTTTTTTCTTTTTTTTTTTTTTTTATCAATTTTACCTCAGGCAATCTTGAAAAGTGTTTTTCTTTTTTCCCGTTTTTTTTTCATAGAAGGCCAACATGAATAAATGTGAAAGCATTTTGTTCTGTTCTTTAGAAATACGTGATCTAGATTTCAACATATGTAACTGCGTGTCACTTCCATGTCATTGATCAGGAACAATTGGTGTTGGGCTGTTTATGTACAAAGAGGAAATCGTTATGGATACAGTGCATCTCTTTGCATCATGCAGAAGTCCACTGACAACTTTGAAATCATTTGTTCACAAAGCAAAAAAACATGGTTTTCCAAATTGAAATCTGGACAATATTTAGATTTCATTTTGTTGATTTAATAAATTTTATGTGCAGGCAGGAGCTGGTATTTTAGAAAAGCCTTTGGTAGCTTTTCAGTAAGTAATTTTCCTTGAGAAAACTGGCAGATTCCTTCAAGTTAAGGGTATTAAGCAGCAGGGAAAGAGTGCAGATCACATATAATTTTATTTGACTCAACAAATTTCATTTTCACTTGGTTTTACAGAGTAGTGGCTATGTACATTTATCCTAAGGAGTGTCACCTAAAACAAAAGCAATTTATGCTAAGAATTGCTCATTGAACATCTTTAAATGTGAAAGTAATATATTGCTCTTCAAACATTGTTCGTCCTACAGTCTGATTGTAATTCATATCATGGCGTTAAAAAGATAAGAAAACAAACAGAACAAAAACAACCTAATGCTGGCATTGTCAATGAAACTTTGTAATAGTTTCCATGTGCAGGTCATAGTTAAATAGAAGTGCCAGAAAATAATTATTGAATTGACCAAGAATATTCTGTATACTATTACCATGAATATCTTACAAGCATAGCACATATTTCATTCTACAGTCCTTCAGCGCTTGAAGTAGGTATCAGTTTTATTGAATGTAAGACCTATGCAACAACACCAAACAGAATTGTAGAAGTACATTTATAAGTGCTCTTGATCATTATTGCTTTGGGAACATAGGAAGGCGTGCTATGAAAGGAATTATATGCCACCTATGAGTGAAAAAATGCTTTCATGGAGAATATTTAGACCTGACTGTGCTTGTTTCCTAGTATTCCATGACTTTTAATGGGATATAATTCAATACACAAAAAATGTCTGATCATTTTGGTACTAAAATTGCTTCAAGCTCTTTGTTGTAGAGTCAAAGTAACTGATCCAGACAAGGTGAAGGTTAAATTGTTTGTTGATTGACAGTGAAGGAGAAATTTTTCTCCTGAGGAAAAAAAAAATTAATACTTGCTTTGACTTACTGTCTGTTGTTAGTGAGTGGTGGAAACTTTCTTTTGGAGCACCCTTCTTGTTGAATGTGTAACAGATATGTAGGAAGTATTTTTAAGATGTTGTTATTAATAATTATTGGGTTATTTTCCTAGATTAACTAAAAAAATGTCCGTCTTTATTAGGTGTGTAAGAAATGCCGAATGTTGCTATCGTCAATTTAATGTCAATCTTATTTATAGAATGGTTTAAAAAGTATAAAAGAGTTAGATTATTTTCATGACCTTTGAGGATGGACAACATCAGCTAGTACTGATGAAAAATTCATAGTGGCACAAGCTGATCACTTGCTGTGCAAGCCTTTAGCTTCCCTTGTCATTCCTCGTATGTTCTGAAATTAGATTAAATTTGCTTAAAGAAAATCAACATTGTTGGAACAATTTACAATTGTTACATTAACTGAATTGGATATGTGGTTTGGGGTGAGGGTTCCCTGTGAATCTTTTAAAAGGTATTTATCTCTCTTACAAGTGCAGTTAAGTAAATCAGTTTGTAAGCATATTCCATGCTTCATTTTTTGTTCAAAACCGCATGAAATAAATTTAGCACAATTATGACTGGTATATACTTTTCTTGCAGAAAGTTTTTTTCTTTTTTCAAGAAATGAATGTAATGTTCTCCAGAAAATTACTTGTGAAGCACAATAATTTTCTGCCCTTGAGAACTTATTTAGAACCCCAAGAGCCTTGGAAGGCAGAAAAATTCAGTTCAATTTTAAATACTTTTATTTTGTTCAATGTGGGATATGTTTTCAAAGTTAAACAGTACAGGTAACTGCTAACTTAATAAATGTTGGTTTTCAATATGTTCCTTTTTCACCTTAATTAAAGGTTGACAACATTTGTTCCAACACTGTTGAATATTCTTTAAGCTTTGTTGAAATCTTAACCCTATGGGTTGTAGTGTTAATAACCATTGTTACCACAAATGTTGAGTGCTCATGGATTTGTTCAAGGGCAGTTTTGTCAAAAATCTTTGTCTAAGACTGTAGTCTGTTTAATAATGTGTTGTAAGCAGAGTTAGGTTAGAACATGAAAAAACAGTGGAACATGAAAATGAATACGATATCTTGCATACGGGTAGTTTTTTTTTTTTTTTTGCAGCAACTGCAATAAACTGTTGTTAAATGAACAGTTGGTATTCAATCTAGTGTGTTTTGGCTAACCGCTTTGGGGACTGGTCATTTATTTGAGGGGGGTGGGGGTCATACCATTTTGTGCACCTGAAAATGGGGGGGCTGCATTAAATTGCACAACAATTTCTGAGGGGCCATGTATTTTTGTGCATTCCAGTTTCTGTCCCTCAAAAAGAAACAACACTGAAGGAATCAACAACGAGTCAAAGTTATTATCAAAATGATGGCATAACAAAAACATAACATGGTACATAGCAGTCCTTTCACATTGGAAAAAAAAACTTCATGTATTACTCAGTATCACTGTCCTCTGATTCCCTGTTTGAAGAGCTGATAGAGGGCAAGTACTCTTTCATTAGTGTACAAGCTTGATCACTTGTAAGCCCTCTTTCAATCAATTGCATTAGCCAGTGAACTTGTGTCCCTTCTAAGGATATTAGAGCAGCTACATTGACTTCCTTAACTGGAATCTCATCATCGGACAGTAGTTTGGAGATTAAAGCAAAATTCTCTTCTCATCCAGCTTTTCTCTTCTGTGCCTTTCTCTTATTTTTGCAGTTTGCCCTAAATAGTTCAGTGAGATTTATTTAAGTTGTTAAACTGTTTCTGTGGTTGAAGGCGGGTCATCTTATTTCATGTACACACTCGAAGGGGGGCCACATTATGTTATGCAGTAGCAGGAACAGGTCCAAGGGAAATTACGGTATATATAGGAAAATTAAAATGCACCAGCCTACCTCCCCCCCCCCTCTAATAACTGACTGGTCCCTTAGCTCCCATCAGTGATCAGTGATTTCAGTGCGGGCAAATATTTCTGGAGTACATACATCGCTTGATATTTGTACTTGTCTCGCACGCTATTTGTACTCTATGAAGCACAGTTGGATAATAAAGAAATTATCAGTCAGGGTATTTTTAGTTGATCCAATACCAAATTCTCTGAACCAAAATCATAAGTATTGTGTTGCAGTGAGTAAAGAGAGTAACTTATCAGATCTTGGGAGTGAAACGGTGAACAGACCTGGGTCTAGGATGGCATAGCAGTGGTGAGAGCCCGAGCCTTTACATTCCTCCAGTGAGGCCTGGGTCAGATTCCCAGACCTAACATCACATGTGGGTTAAATCTGCTGTTTGTTCTTATCCTTGCTCAGAGATTTTTTCTCCAAGTCCTCTAGTTTTCTTCCCTCCCTAAAAACCAACATTTCAAACTTCAATTTGACATGGGAACATTGAACAAAAAGAGCCACATTGTGGAGTGTCCACTGCTAAATTTCTATTCCCATTATGAAGATTAATTAGAAATGTGAAGGAAGACTTAAGATTGTCAAGTCATTGAAAGTTATTCAAAATAGTTATTTTAGTACGTTTTATTTTTCACAATTAAACAATTTTCCAAGTTTTAATGTTTATATATTTTGAACCAAATAGAGGGCTCAAACAACACAGTCGTACCGACTTCCTCTGGACTACCTATTTGAAATACTGTACATTTTAACGTTTTTTTGTTTGTGGATCCAATCAACTTGCAGTAAAAACACCTCTTAAAATTTCAACAACTGACATTTTCCTCAGTTCAGAGCTGGCATCAGAATCAGTCTCATCAATAAATGGTTCATCTTGCACTTTGAAATATGATTGGATGAGCCCTCTACACATAGGACAATACCTAAGATGACGACTACATAGGCCGCATATGCATGCATGTCTACAAGGGAGGAAGGCTCTGGTCACAGGCAGTTCTCGGCAAACAACGCACACTGCATTGTGCAAGTCTGACGATGTGGCAGAAAAATTTGCAGCTTCAGTTGGTGATGATGATGTTGATGACTGTGATATGACTGATGAAACACTCTGACGTGATGCTGAAGTTTGAGCTTCTGTAGTATCTTCACTCTCCACTACAAACAGTTTCTGTGGACCATCAAGAAGAAAGTTGTAATATTTCAATACTGTGAGGTCAGAAATTCCTTAGGCCACACCCAGAATTTCACAGGATAAATACTGGACCTCGACAGAGCTGAATAATGTATATGCATGTGCTAGGTTTTGCCACGGAAACATGGATTTTGAGTTGTTCGCGAGTCATTCACATGGTTGATTTCCTATTCTGTTGCTTCGAGGGGTCGTTTTCCTTGCCCCTTTTCTTTTACAGAACAACCTCCAAAAACTTGGTACAACCCCTAAAATTTTTCAAAAATTAATTTTCTCCTTAAAACCTTTGGAAATAGGAAAGTGCCTTCGATGAAAACAGAGTTCCTCGGTTTTAAAAGTCAGCCCTTATTTTTTTCCGCTACATTTTAGACCTGAGACACTTGAGCCCGCGTTGTTGACCGCATACCCTCTGACGTAGCATTTCATTATTCAGCTCTGTCCTGGACCTCAGCACTACAGGAAGAATCAACCTTTCCCTCACAAGATCTCATTTAGTAATTCTCCTTTCTGTCTGCCATACAATTCTTAATATGCTTTTTCGGAGAATTTGGTTATTGATCAACTGATAATACGCTAGTTGATATAATTATTCTTTCATCTTGTCACATCTGCTGTCTTGGTCACTCATGGGAGTAAAAGGATAAACTTACACAGAGTAGTGGAAAATGCCACACTGCGATCCTATTAACCTGTGATCAGCCTTTGTCATTTGGTTTTACAAGAAACCATTAATTTTTTTGTTCCAAAAATACAGACATGAATCTGTAAAAGTTTGAAGGTTACTGCGAGAAAAATCAATTATTTTACCACAAAATCTTTATAAGAGAGACTCAGTGCAGAGGGTCCAGGAAAATTCCAAAATGAAATGACCAATTCAACCATCTATTGATCCATTAAACCAGCGATACATCAAACCATTGATCCAATGATCTATGGAAGCAAGGATCTAATGATGATGCACTGATCTATCCATTGGTCAATCTCATTATTAGGTGATGTATATGCCCAGGGGGGATAGTTTATCCCATATGAAACAGACGGGGATGCTCGTCGGAAATTTTAAATTTGACCCCTAAAGGAGACCATCTGGGCATGGCTTAAGGAAATTTTTACCCCTAAAAGAGACTTCTCATGTTCATGTATTGTCTCTTTGGCACTTGGTAAAATAGAAAACTAGTTAATGTTGAGGTAATACGGTAAACAAAACAAGTTAAAAAGAAAATTNCATTTTCTGCCTTTAAAAGCACACACAACCCACAATTCCTCTTTTTGCTCTGACAAAGGGCTAATGCTCGAAACATCAGCTTTTGTAATCATTACGGTGGCCAATTTACCATTTCAACTTTGTTGATATATCCAAATTATTCTTATACATCATGCACTTTTGACTCCCAACTTCTGCTAAACACTTCAGATTAAAAATGAACAATAGTTCACATTTTTACATTTCTCTCCTGTTTCCTTCTCTTCTAAACTTTCCTTCTCTCCTGAAACTTCCACCTCACAGTCTTTCCTAGATTTCAATACCCCATACCCCTCCTGTTCCTTTTCCCACTGTGCCACACCCACCCCCCCCAAAAAAAAAACCACTCAACTCTTATCAATAGGGAAGGGTTTTCATTATAAGACCTTGCAAGCTTTGGTTTTGTTTTGTTTTCCTGTAATTCTTAATTCAAAACTATTAAAGGCTGTGTCTAGCACAATATAATCTGTAATCTTAACAGTATTAACTGCCAGAATAGGGGGAGCACTGCACCAAAAAAAACAATAACACAATAACAAAGGCTAAGAGATCCACCCAACTTCTTAATTACACTTAAGAATAGAAACTAAGTATCTATGATGCACGATCCTCGCAGAAGAGAGCGCTATTTATGCAATAGCGAAAATCAGACCTGAAAAAAATCAGGCCTGTACGGGATTCGAACCACTGACCTCTGCGATACTAGTGCAGTGCTCTACCAATTGAGCTAACAACCCAACTGGAAGCAGGCCGTTAAGTTGATTTGCAATACACCCTTGATGATAAAGCAGGTGCAATGAATATATGAAGTTCATATATATTTTGAACTGCAGTTGTAGATTTTCACTATTGCATAAATAGCGCTCTCTACTGCGAGGATCGTGCATCATACATATCTACAACCGCAGTTCAAAATATATATGAACTTCATATATTCATTGTACCTAATAGAAACTAAAGAAATAAATGTCATGTGAGGTCGTGCAATACATTGCAGTATAACTTACAATATCAGAGAGCTGCTGTGGTCCCTGCTCATCCCATCTGGACATTTCAACAGTAACAAGGAGTTCATAGTTTGAGCTAACAGTTGCAGCACTAGTACCAGTTGATGATTCCCCAATCAAGTCAACTGGAGGGACAGCTAGAAGTTCAAGATTGGACCCAGCATCATAGCTGTAGATATTGAGCGCGTTAAGGATGGTATATTGTGCAGTAAAACAAACCATGGTTTATTACTAATTCTTGTGACATTCTTTGAAAGATATTTGATCTCACAGCAACCTGTTTTTCATCCAATACAATTATTAATGGTGATGTAAACCAACTGACGCATGCAAGCTATCACACCACTTTAAAGTAAAAGCACCAGATGATAGATATTTGAGTCTACTGGTCTCAAATTGCTTTCTAAAGCTTACTAGGTAAGCTTTCAAAATGGGAGGCTCGTGGGAAACTTAGAAACTGTTAAGGTGATAGGTAACATAAAAATTAGCTTTGGCATTCACGTGACATAAAGCAAATAGTCAACTGAAACGTCAGCTTTTCCAAATTATTACCTAACTACTTTCATCATAGACCATTGAAATCAACACTTTCGTCACCTTTGCTTGGTTTACTAGTGTTATTGAATTGAAAAATTCCAAAAGTTCTTCTCATGTCAGAGAGGATAAAACTATGCACCTATCATGAACATTTAAAATTTCAACTCGTTTATCTTGGATACAATTCAGATACACTTCGATCCTTGTATGAACCTTGCAGAATATGTTCCAGAGGAACAGCAGACATGCTTAGTCCTTCCACATCTGAATCACTGTCATCATCTTAACAACCATCAAACATGCTTCCTTGCTGTTTATTATCCTCACAAATGGCAGTGTCTATAACAGCCTTATTAACTTCCCAGTAGAATGTCACATAGCAAGGAATCATTGAACTCAGGAGAAACTCAATCACACCTATCAAATAGTGCTGTCACATTATTAGTAGTTTCAAACAAATATTACTAACCAAAAGTTTAAGGGGGGGGGGCACTTTGCTTATAAAGAAAACTTCTTCACCCAAAATTGCAAATTTGGACTCTTGAATCCAGGGTTGTTGCTAGGCACTAGCTGCTGACGAAATTCACCGCATGAAAAAGCAGCAATTGCCAGCTGGATTTTTGGCCAGTGATCCCTTGGTAAAGCACAACACGCACTTCCGAGGTTACACACTTACAATTGTTCACCACTTTTGAGCCACTCACATAAAATTTTAGCCAGCAGGGTAATTTCTTAGCTACAACCCTGTGAATCTGAAAACTGATTTTTTTTTCAAGTACACGTTTTTCAGTAATGTATTCAGAACGATTTCTTTTTTCAGCGTGTGCTGTGCAAGTATCTCTCCGCAATCAACAGAGAGCGTTCCAACCTAGATTCCCTTCTCGTTGAGGCTGCGATCCGAGAAACCCGCCACCATCATCATAATTCAAATATACCATAACTCTATAAACATTTTTATACATCTTCTTATATGCAGCGTCTGAGTATGTATTATAAATAAGTAATTTTTAACCGAGAACACAAAGGGTTTCCAGATTAACCTCTAGTAAGTTTACAGAAATCTTCCGGTTTTTCCTGAAATGTTTATTTTAGAGTGATTCGATTTTTCAAAATAACTCTTCCATTTCTATTTCTTAAAGTTTAAGAGCTCTCGAATCGAGTCGATCGCCCTTTAGGTAAGATAGCTGAGTACCTGTTCTTGTTGATTTTCTATCATCAGCTGTTCTCATTTTCAAAATAAAGGGGTTCTTTACACCAACCACTGGCTGCGAAGGAATTTCCCTGGGCGAAGGATTTACATAATCAAATATGGCCTCTCTTTCCATGATACCGAGCCTGATTATAAAAAGGCCCAGCACGAGAAAAGTTATCACAATTATGACTGCTGATATGAGAGTAAAAAATTCCGCCATATTTGATCGTGAAACTCAATCCGTGCTCAGCGGCAACCCTTTGAAATACATTATGATTCATGTAAAGCGGAGTACTTCAGACATATTTTCAGAACTCAAGAACTCAAATATCATGGCGTCCAACCCTAAAACTGCGAAGAGGTTGGGATCTGTGATCAAATTAAAGCCAGAAATGTATCAAAAATACAAAGACCTTCATGCGGCAGTATGGCCTGAGGTAATGTGTAACACCAAATTGAATTCGCTTCAACTAGGCCAAACTAAGGATTTGTTGCACTCTGCAGTATTCATTACAATCCTTTCGTTGATTTCTTTGATTTTCCAGATCTTGAAAAGGATATATGATAGTAATATAAGGAACTACACTATTTACTATGACAAACATCATCACTTGTTGTTCTCTCACATGGAGTATATTGGTAAGTTTGATGTTTACGTTCATGTAACTTCTTGATGTCATCAGATACCTGAAGGGGCGGGGCATGTTAATGAGAGCGGGGGAAACTTTTTCTCTTTTTTTATACTTTGTTATACCAGTTTGATTGTGTTCAGATGATGTTTTTTCAGCTCTTACAGATAAATAATTCATTCAATCATTTTATCCATTTAGCCAGTCAATGTGACTGTCCGTCCATCTGTCTGTCAGACAGTTAGTATGTCAATAGTGGGCCTGTGTACTATTAATTTGTCCCATCAGCCCTTCCATTCATAACTCTGTTTGAGTCAGTCACTCAAGGAGTCATTCAGTCATTCATTTTGGTGAACCACCCGGTCAGTCATTGAGTTAGTCAGTGATAAATGAGTCAGACAGTCAGCTAGTCAGTAAGTGGGTGAGTGAGTCAGTGAGTCAGTAAGAGAGTGAGACCGTTGATGAGTCAATCAGCAAGTCAATGAGTGAGCCAGTCAGTCAGTCAGTCAGTCAGTCAGTCAGTCAACTGCCAGAGTCAGTGAGTCAGTCTGAGTCAGTATGGAAGTCAGTGAGTGACTGAAACAGCCAGTAGAGACTTTAAGCAGTCAGGACGGCAACGCCACAGAAGACGTCGATTAAAAAATGAGTTTCTACTTTTAGTTAGAATTTCGAAAATGGCTGCATGTGTATACTGTCTCATAGGGTGCCAGATCTCAAACTCAACATAACACATAAAAGTAGTGTTGAGTTACAAATGGAAATGAAAATAATTTTCCGCCGCAGTCTCGCTTCGCAGACGACGCAAATTTTGGTGATTTCATGTTGTTATTTTGCAAAGGATGGCTAAGAAATGTACAAAGTTTTAAAACGCACGTGCTGGGCTATTGTTCTGCCAATTAGATCTATTGTTTTTCCACGTTCTCGTTGCCGTGACCGTCGTGGTTTGCTTAAAGTCTCTAGTGAGTCAGTCAAAGAGTGAGCCAGTAGGTCAATCAGTGAGTGAGCCAGTGAGTCAGTCAGAGAGTGAGCCAGTGAGTCAGTTGGTGAGCAAGCCAGTGAGTCAGTCAGAGAGTGAGCCAGTGAGTCAGTTGGTGAGCAAGCCAGTGAGTCAGTCAGAGAGTGAGCCAGTGAGTCAGTCAGTGAGCGAGCTAGTGAGTCAGTCAGAAAATCAGGCAGTTAGCTAGTGAGTGAGTACATCAACAACCAGAGTCAGTGGGGGAGTCAGTGATGGAGTGAGTCAGTGAGTTAACAATTGAGTGAGTGAGTGAGTGAGTCAGTTTATGAGTCTGTCAAAAGCCAGTTAATTCATGTTTTATGTATGTTTATTCCTGGTGCCTGTCCATCCGATCCATACCTAAATTTTTAATTCCATTGCTTTTATTTCTTCAAAAGCTGAATTTATCAACTCACTAACTTTTATTTTTTCCAGGGGATGACTTGGAAAAGGACATGGCTGCTATAGGAAATGATCCTTTGACAAAGAAATGGTGGAAAGTGTGTGAGCCTTGTCAAGAGTCTTTAGAGTGGACAGGGCCACCACCCAGTGAGGGGGGCGAGGGGGGCAACTGGTGGGCGCCAATTGAGGAAGTGTTCCATGACGGCCATCCTGCTACACATTATCATTAAACTACTCAGATTATTCCAGGATAACTGAAGACTATAAGAAATGATTTCTAGTCAAATCAGTCACCTAGTCAGTTAGTCAATGGTCTAGTCACTCAGTGAGTCAGTCTATTAGTCAGTCAGTCAGTCACAAAGCTAGTGAGTGAGTCAGTCAGTCACTCAGTTAGTCATTTAGCTAAGTATGGAGTTAATGAAATAGTCAGTCTGTTAGTCAGTCTGTTAATCAGTCAGTAAGTGAGTCATTCAGTCAGTAAGTGAGTCATTCAGTCAGGTACTAGCGGTAGGTCGGTCAAAATGTCAGAGAGTCAGTCAGACCATCCTGCCACGTAAACCAAGAACAAGCCAAGAACTAAGAGAAGTCATAATCAAAAGTAGCATAACAACCACAAATTATTTTTTACTTAAGCCTAATATACTAAATATTGAAAGAAGGTATTATGCTAGCTTGCTATAAAAGCGGTTAGTTGTGATGTTAAACATTAATATAAGCTTTATAAAAAAGAGATTCCTTTAAAAGAGCAATTAATGGTGTTAATAAACCTACTTGTAGTGATTGTTTTATTGTGAATCCTTTTCTAATTAATCATTTAGAGTTGAAAGAAAAATATGTTTATGCCATAAACCACACCCAAACGAAGAACATATTGGTCAAAACTTGTACTCATTTTCAGATCAACCTAGTATAAAAAACGTGTTACATGAAGTAACGCGTAACTTTTTTTAGGCTGGGTTGCACGGCAGGTACAAAAAGCAGGTCACAGGTCACAATTAACAGGTCACAATTTAAGAGTTATACACCGGATAAAGTAAAGGCGCTGCATTATAGTGTTCCATTTCCGGTCGTCAGAAATGAACATATAATATACGTGCGTTCCGGTTTTCGTGTAAGAATAGAACAATAAAATGTCACTAGTTCAACATTCTGTGACGTGTGACATGTGACCTGCTTTTTGTACCTGCCCAGTTGCACGAAAAATATATCTGGTATGGTATACTTTTTTATGAGGGAATTCGGAAAATTTCCTTAAATATTTTATTGGGTAACACTCCCGTTCCCCCCTAAACATCAAACCATAGTTAGTAGAGGAAATGTGAACCTCACTCTCAGGTACTCTGTCTAGATCTCCCAGCTCTAAAAATTAATCACTAACGAGAGAGGACCCTACGGAAAGAGCGAATCCTAATGAGTCAGCGGTATTTTGCTTAGTGGACTTCATACTTCATACATTATTGTCTTGACAAAATGGCGGTGGAACATATGGCGGGAGGAGATAAGTTGGATGTTCTGGATGTGTGTCCTCTTCTTATACTTCAAGACAAGAGCAAGAGGTTTTACGACGGCTATATTACTGTTTGCGTAAGTTCGAACGTTGGTTACTGTGAAAGAAGAGAACACGGAATTAACTGTATGACAACATTGATTATGACAATTTTTGCAGAAGAAGAGTTTCCGAATGTCTGTCGAAATTCCGGAGAACAGATCTTTAAAAGACGCCAGGTATTTTTTGTGCTTTATACTCGTTACAACATCTCCATAACAGCAATAGGGTTCTGAAGTCTGCGAGTTTCTAAATGTAAAGTTGATGTAATTAAGAATCACTTCATTCGGGGAAGAAGAAAAAAGAAGGATAATGGTTGCACAGGTAGCCCAAGCCAGTCTGCATGCACGCAGAGTATAAGAAGTGCGCCCACAAACGTTCGGGCCCGGGCTGTATGAGAACCGTTTGATTTTCCTTATTTAAGTGAGCATATGGCTATAAACGAGATAAGTCTGAAATTTCGTTAATATGTTAAGAACATTTCTTAACGCAAATCTAAATGGCTCATGTCGGCTGTAAGTTCAAATTAAGGGCTCTCACTGTCTAGAGCCTGGGCAGCTTGTGATAACACTGATGGTGTTTGTTCATATAATTTGCCAGGATAGAGTGTGAATGGAAACTAAGGCATTTACTGAGAGGCTATGAAGGTGTCTTAAAACAGGTTTTGTATGTTTATAAATTTCCTCCTAAGGTCATTAGTAGGAATTATCTCCTTACTGATCCTAGCAGCATGCAGGACACTTGCAATTCCTGAAACAACAGTTTGCCTCACTCACTAGGTCAGCAGTGCTCTTGGTTAATTCAAGCTAGCATGACAGATAAAAGGACACACGTTTGAGTTTTGGAGGATAAAAAATTTCCAGACTGGCTTTAGGATTTTCAGTCCACTTAAGCCCTTTGAAAAAAAAAAGACTCGTTCAAATTTGATAAAATTCAATATAAATGATCTTACTTACTATCCAAATAATTTGAATATATCAACAAAGTTGAAATGGTAAATTGGCCACAGTTACGATTATAAAAGCTGACGTTTCGAGTGTTAGCCCTTTGTCAGAGCGAATAGAGGAATTGTGGGTTGTGTGTGCTTTTAAAGGCAGAAAATGGAGCTACGTTATTGGTGGGAACATGGCAATTTCTCCTCTCTGGGAAGATTAGGGACTAGTCTGGGAGAATTTGTTCTAAGCCCCTTACAGATCTTGCTGACTTGCCTCGTACAGTATTTAGAACAATTTCTTATTGATGTTTAACTGTTGAAAGTGATCTGGGGTTACTTTGGTTTTGTTTTACTTCACAATGTAATTGATCCAAAACACTAACCCATCAAATTCAAAACTAAAATGAACAGCAACTTGGTCACTCAATCATGGTGTCTCAGGCTCCAAGCAGTTTTCTTAATTTTACTTTGAATTCTCATTGCCTACTTGTGATCTTGTGATATTTTCCTTTCTTTTGATTGGCTGTTGCGATTACTTTGGCTTAGATATATATTTTTTTCTACACTAAGTTGGAATGCATTAGATTTAAATTATTTTACCTTCTTCATCTGCATTATATGTTTCATCATGATCTACAGCAAGGCCAACTACATCATCACCATCTTTGATCTGCTTAGCTTTATTGCGAACTCTTTTTGCCTTTTCCTCTCTTCTTCTCTGTTTGGCTTTGATTTCAGCTTGGTGTTTTTCTCTATTTCTCTCTGATGCCGTGAGTTTTTCGTCTAACTGTAGGGCCGTCAGCATAAAAAAAACCTTTTTAATGTTGTAGTTTTAAAAACTTGTACAAGGTTTTCCTAGTTAACATAAATACTTCATGGGTTAACCCTTTACACCTTGACATTAGTTGGCAAGTTTTCCATACTATACATTTCCCATGTTACTTACAAGGAGAATTTGTGTAATAAATATGGGTTATTAACCAAGCGTGAGGTCAATATGGCTGGATATTGGCTGAGTTTTTTTTTTTTACATTTTTATGAACTGAGATGAAGTCGAGGCCACAAAAATGCAAAAAAAGAATGAGGCCAGTATCCAGCCGTCTCAACCAAACAAGCTCACAGGTTAATAAAGGATTTATTATATTGCAAGAAGATTTCCCTTTATTAAGAATTGGGAACATGACAGGGATATACGACTCGCATGCACTCAAATTCTGCGGTTTTAGAACATGCCAATGGAACCAGACAGAAGCTGCTGTGGAACGAAATAAAGCTTATTGACCGAGACTGCCATCGGTACACAAGGAAAGTTAAAGAGGCAATTCACATAAGAATCAACCCAAACAACATAAACAGGGATTACGGAGCTGAAATACGGGAAGAGTGGATACCTACAATAAGAAAACATGAAAACCAACTACACGCCAAAAATCAATGAACGCCTGAGGAAACCATGGTGCATAGAAACAATAGCCAGATCGAAACGCACCAATCACAACAGACCACCTTGATATATAAAGCTGTGCAGCAACCAGTCGACCCTATCGTCTGAAGTAGACTTGCAGTAAGCAGCCGAGACTTTGTCATGAGACAACAGAACAAATTTATACTATCATCCAACTACCATGATGAACAACATCCTATTCCATAACAAAGCCAACTGTGTTTGTAGCACAACAAACTCATGAGAGTTGTTTCTGTTTTCTTTGTTTTGACTATCTTCTGCCACTTTTTGCATTTCCATCGCCGACATTGTACAAGAATTACAAATGTAGTTGTGATTAAATTTTTTCCATACCTGGGATCGATGTGGGCAATCCCGAGTGGGCAGGATGGGCTCATCTTGCTCACTCTGGTAGCCAATCAGAACACAGGATTTGCTTCATCTTGCCCACGGGTGCTGCGAGCGATGTAATAATGGATCTCATGACCTTGTGATCATTTCCTTTATTCTCCTAACCTCAATGTTTGATTCAGGGGTGATATTGTTGGGAGAAATTAGATACTTATCATGCTTAGGGTGTAAAGAGCTAATCACATTTGTTCATGTTACCTCTGCTTTCTGTTGCTGGGCTTTGTCCATTTCTCTTGCCATGAGAAGTTCTGTTCGTCTTTTAGACATAACTTTGACTTTCTTCTCCAACTCCTATCGTAAAATCACATTTAAAAAAAATTGCTTAATAATTTCTCTTCATTAACTTTGGGCATAGATGTGTCTCCTGATCCCATTTCAGACCAGAACATGCCTGGGGGCCTTTTCTTTAAATGAAGGGAGTAGAGGGACATTTCTCCATTTAGACCCCTAACGTCTTGAAATTTCTCTCTAAGACGATATTCATTTATTTTATTCATTTATTTTGCTGCATTTACAGTCAAGATTGAGAAAAAAATTAGTTTCAAAATAAACATTTAAAAACATTGCTATAGTTCAGTTACTTCTCTGTCAAGGTGATTATGCATTTGGAGTTAAAAGGAGAAATATATTTGCACACTCTAATGTGGTCCCTTGAAAACCACATGTGATTTTTTAGACCCATTCCTGACCAAAATGGCCCAAAAGTTGTAGTTTGGATCAAACACTAAGTGTTTGTAACTAATTCACAAGGAAATGTGTAGCAGCTAGAGGGGAGAATTTAATATCTCGGGATTTAATTAGTTAAATATAGTTTGTACTAGAAAGTGTATCACCTTTTGCCTGTTTAACTCTGCCACAGCTTGCCTTTGTTCTAATGCTTCTTTGGTCAAAACTGGTGCACTCTCAATTTTCTGTTGAAGGAAGAGTTTGAATTTTAAATTTTACATTCAGAAGATAATTAGTAAATGCAAAACAACAAAATATCACCGCCACATGTAACTACGTATACCCACCTTTAGCCGACGAGGTGGTCGGTTTGGCATCTGTATAGTTGATGCGTTATCAGAATCATTTTGTCCGAGTACAATATCAAAAGCCACCGCTTTGGAAACTTGAGGGTGTGTGTTATCATTGCGGTTCTCTGGTTGAGGAAATAACAGCAGGTTGTTGGCTATATAGTATCAACATGAATTTTTTTTTTATCGTCTTGTTGAATTGTTCCTCGTTCTTATTAATCTAAGTGAATTATTTTTAATGTTATTGTGGGTATAGGAGAGCGGAACATTTTAATTAAAATGCCTCCGAAATTTAATGAGAGGAAAGAGGAAAAAATTAAAGGTGATTTTAAAAGTATGTAAACATCTGTGTTCATATGACGCGTCCAAGGGAAGATTTTAGTCAGAATATAGAGGACTTAACTACTTTTCATCAGTCTGTCACAGTGCGAGTAATATGAGCTTGTTAAGTAATATTACCCAACGAGGAAATATTATTGTCGAAAGGTACACATATCATGCTAAATGACTATTCATTGCTAGGCAAATAGTTCTTGCCATAATGAATGTACTTGCTAAGTACACAAGTATGTTTGCAGTCGACGACAAATTCAAATAACTGTAATGGAAAATGCGCTAAATTTGGTTTCACAGGTAATGAATTTTAAGATCCAGTAACAAGAAAGTTGTCATGTTGGATCGATTGCGCGGCGGGTTTATTGTTTATCAAATCAAACCCTCAAGGTATTTTTAAAAACACCACAAATTGTGATAAATCAATTAATGGATGCTTTCATAATTGCGTGGTTAAAGCGCTTTCTACTGTCATTTGCCTGAAGAAAAAATTAAGACTAGAGGATTATGAGCTTAAATTTTGCTCCAGCATTTTAAAAGTGTGCTTCAATTTGTTTCTGTGGCCTACTTACCGTTCAAAGGCTGAGAATGTTTTGTTTCTTGACCGGATTTGTTTAAAACGTCACCATTTGAATGATCGGAATCTCTTTTTTTCCTTGAGTTGTGATTTATATCTCCATTTTTCTCAGTATTTGCTAGTCCAGTTGCGTTTCCGTTCGATTTTGTCGCAGTTGCCTTGCCATTAGACAAGTGTGCATGCCCATTTGATACCGAGTCGTCTTTGATCCTGTTTCCTCCGTTGGCATGAAGAGGTTGATCTTCGAATTCTTTAGTTTGTGGCGTTACTTTGGAAGCTCCGCAGCCCATAGCTTTAAGCTACCAAAATCACCTCTTTACCTGTAGTCGATTAAGCCCATTTCTGCCCAACAAAACAAACTGAAGAAAGTTTCAAAACTTCATGTGTTTTCACCACAAATATCAACAATATGTGGTTAAAATTCCATACGTGTTTATGTTGGACCACTGAATCCGATTTCTTTCTCCCGAAAACTACGCTGTTTTCACGAAGATGAAATTGTCGCAAATGTAAAATATAGTAAGTTTTGAAGTATATTGTCCGTCTGTGAAGTTACGCAAGTAAAGACCGGCATCAGAATGATTGCTTGGACAGTTGCTATGCAACAGTTGTAAACGATGTTTTTTCTTTCTCCCTCGGGAAATTGGGTCAAAAGCCACAATCAAACACGTGTGAATCTTCAATTACATAAATTGTTTAGCAGGTGGGCGCAAAAAGCTTACCGAGGTCCGCTTAAAAACTGTCAAAAAAACGTTTGAAATCATCAGCAGAAGGAATGGTTAGATGAATCACTAAACAAGAATGAAACAGTAAATTTTCCTTAAAGATTTGAAGTTAGTTTTTGGACACGCGTCCTCGTTGTATGTAAGGAAGGGAAAAAAGTGACGAAAGACCCGGTAGCCAGACAATGTCTCAAATGGACTAAACTTCCGGCAATCAGAAATTTGTATAGAATTTGCACAAAAAAGTTCTTTCAAACTTCTTGGGATGTATGGGTTAGAAATGTCAAGCGATTCCGAAAATTATCCTGGTATTTTTGTGGACGAATTTTTGTGCATACCGTAAAAAAAAATCGCTAAATGTAAAAACCTAGTGATTTTAGAGAATGTACAAGCACGGAAAATTCGTCAATTAACATTTAAGAACTGTCGTAAACTTTGGAACCACTTGAAATTTCTAAACAAACATCTGATACTCCTATAAAGTTTGAAAGAACTTTTCCGTGCTAATTCTGTGGGGGAAAAAGTGTGAGAAGGAACGCGAGTTGACTTCTTAATCAATTTGTTAAACACTGAAAATCCAAAGGGAACTATTGAAAATTACCAAACATTAAAAATGAGAAAAAAAAGTTTTATAGAGGTCTTTCATTGGTTTCAATCTCCGTCTTTAAAATAAAATTGTCAGAACTATCTTGCAAAACAAAGTTGTTACATATAGGTGGTTTGCAACCAACCTCTAGAGACACAGGTTACAATGGTGAAAGGTACAAATATTTATTATTTACGTCCACCAACATGGCGGCAATGACATCACGTGCAAACCACCTATTAAAGAAGGACCGAAATAAAACAAACGTAACAACTGTCACGTGACCTTTTACTCCCTTATATCAGTATGCATACAATGAATATATGAAGTTCATATATTTTGAACTGCGGTTTTAGATACGTATGATGAACGATCCTCGCAGTAGAGAGCGCTATTTAAGCAATAGCGAAAATCAGACCTGAAAAAAATCAGGCCTGTACGGGATTCGAACCACTGACCTCTGCGATACTAGTGCAGCGCTCTACCAATTGAGCTAACAAGCCAACTGGGAGCAGGCCGTTAAGTTGATTCGTAATAAACCCGTGAAAGTGATAAATCAGATACAATGAAATATATGAAGTTCATATATTTTGAACTGCGGTATTAGATACGTATGATGCACGATCCTCGCAGTAGATAGCGCTATTTAAGCAATAGCGAAAATCAGACCTGAAAAAAATCAGGCCTGTACGGGATTCGAACCACTGACCTCTGCGATACTAGTGCAGCGCTCTACCAATTGAGCTAACAAGCCAACTGGGAGCAGGCCGTTAAGTTGATTCGTAATAAACCCGTGAAAGTGATAAAT